TTTAGAGAACGAAAAGCGAATGCCCGGAGCTTTAATCAGGTTGGTGGATATGGAGGATCCACCCAGATAAGTTGACAAACCCTGATTCCAAACCAATAGCTCATATGGGTTTCAAGATCCTGAAGGAAAAAATGGCATATGAAACTATTGTTGGTCACCAGCTATCACGAAACTTCATCTCTTAACGGTACTCCACTGCCTTGTGGACTAGACCTCTATGTCAATGATTAGGGCAGTATCCCTTGAGAAAATCGCCTGCTTAGGTGTGAGCGTCAACTATACAAACAAACGGATAGAGTGGCCATAAGATCATCGTTAAGGTCTGTCTTGGCACATATCTTCATGCCTAACCTAGAAAAAACGAAACTAAAACACAAAATCCAGAACACAACATACTACTGCAGATATTTTGATGATACGTTCATTATCTGTGATGATATGGATCAAGCTTATCGGTTGCATAATCACTTCAACAACCTTTATTAATTTTAACTTTTAACCTTTTCCAACCCTTCCCCTAACCTTCTATCTTTGTTATTATTTCATCTTCTAACTTCGACTGTAGCTCTTCTAGGACCACTGCCGGTCCCAAGCACTCACAAAGGAGGAGGGTTGGGCATAGGGTTCTCCAACGTCACCCCATGGAAAACAATTTTGCTAAAAAACGCTAACCAGAATAAACAAGTTAAACCATTTAATTTCTGACCGAGATTCTTCGGAAGTCACGAGACCGATGCCCTTCCTAACAACCACAGCAACAATTATTACAGGTAACCAAAATGTACGGACAATGTGAGAGACCGGAAAGACCAACTAAACAGCTACAGAAATGAAGTGCTACAACTTACCGGTTGTTGGACTCAGTGAAACACAGAAAAGGATAGATTCGGGAGAGAAGCTGCTCTACTCTGGTGACGAAGAGGGAAAAGCTTCTTACACCCAGAGAGTTGCCATGACGCTGTCCAAAGAGGCACGCAAAGCACTTAAAAGATTGAAATATCATGGACCCAGGATCATCAAAGTCAGAATCTTCAATACGAATGTCAAGACAGTTAATTGTATTGTATGGAGCTGAAACTTGTAGAACTGCCATAACCATAATCAAAAAAGTACAAGTGTCTATAAACAATTGCCTATTTAAGATACTGAATGTCCGTTGGATGGATACCATCAACAACAGCTTATTCTGGGAGAGAAAAACCAGCTTCTAGCTGAAGAGGGAATTGGGAATAGACGTTGGAAGTAGATAGAACATACATCACGGAAATCATCAAACTACATCATGGAGCAGGCACTAAAGTAGAATGCTGAAGGGAAACGGTAAAGAGGAAAGACAAAGAACAAACTGTGTGGGGAATTGAAAACAGACATAAAAAGAATGTATAACAATTGGAAAGAACTGGAAAGAATTGTCCAGGACATAGTTGGATGGAGAATGCTGGTAGATAGCCTATACTCATCCACGATGGGTAACAGACGTAAGTATAGTAAGCATTATTTCGTCTTCCAATATTCACCTCTTTCATAATCTGACTGAAGTTCACATATTTTTTTCATGTTGATCGATTATTCAATCACATATTAATTTCATTATCTTTACATAACCTCTGAATTATTACTTCCCAAAGAACACATTACGTCGGGAAATAAAAGCGGATATGAAAAGGATGAATAAGAACTGGTAAGAGCTGGGAAGGATTGCCTAGGATAGGGTTGGATGGAGAATACTGGTCAGCAGCCTATGCTGCTTCACGAGGAGTAACAGGCGTAAGTAAGTAAGTAAGTAAGTAAGTAAGTAAGTAAGTAAGTAAGTAAGTAAGTAAGTAAGTAAGTAAGTAAGTAAGTAAGTAAGTAAGTAAGTAAGTAAGTAAGTAAGTAAGTAAGTAAGTAAGTAAGTAAGTAAGTAAGTAAGTAAGTAAGTAAGTAAGTAAGTAAGTAAGTAAGTAAGTAACATATAAATGCACATTGATGTTAACTATATTTATTCATACACTATGTATCTGTTATAACTTATGACCTGTGTGCCCTGTTAATGTATACGTAATCATATCTGCAAATAGAGAGCAACAAATTATCGATCGGACCAATGACGCATAAAACCCGTGAGAGCAGTCTACAGTACTTATCGATCCTCCTTCCCGCTTATCGGGACATAACAGTATCCCCATTTTTCTCATTATTATTATAAGTTTGGTTACATATTGAACATTTATCTAAACTTCACAAACAAAAGTATCTCTGAGCTAACAGATAGATTTGAGTATGATGATAGTAAATCAACCAAAATGATACTTGAACCATTAGATGTAAAGCATTCAACCTGTAAGTTAGAAACCAAGTAGTGTAGAGAACAAGACGTGAATTGAATGATAATCAATATGAAACAAAAAAGTTAGAATACCGATTGAAACAATATTTCATAGAATAATAGAAAGAATTATGCAAATGGAATGTAGTTGAGACAAACATGAGTTATAGCAGAAATTAGTTAAAAATCAAGGCCACATGAATCATTTCTATAACACTGAAATTCATTCGTCCAGTATATTGCTGAGGAAACAAATGATTATTTTATTTCTATAACATTTGTAGATCATCAACTCAGGGGATCTCTGTCAATGGTCGCTCGTCTACTACAATTAGACGAAGATGGTATAGCCTCTTAACTTACATTGAAGTCACACCTTATGGTTAGTAACTAATGTATCCAGATACTTACTTACTTACTTACTTACTTACGCCTGCTACTCCCAATGGAGCATAGGCCGCCGACCAGCATTCTCCAACCCACTCTGTCCTGGGACTTCTTTTCTAGTTCCATCCAATTCTTGTTCATTTTTCTCATGTCTATCTCTATTCCTCAGCGTAATGTGTTCTTTGGTCTTCCTCTCCTCCTTCGGCATTCAGGATTCCACGTGAGGGCTTATCAAGTGACGCAGTTCGGTGCTTTCCTCAATGTGTGTCCTATCCACTTCCAACACTTCATCCTGATTTCTTCCTCTGTTGGGTTCTGGTTTGTTCTCTTCCACAGTAGGTTGTTGCTAATAGTATAGTGTCTGGTCAACGGATCCGAAGTATTTTGTGTGCAGACAACTGTTAATAAACACTTATATCTTCTGGATGGTAGCTTTCGTAGTTATCATAAAGGATATATACAAATAAACATATAAATCTAAGGGTTAATTTTAATGGAAAAAAGATCAATAAATTAAGTAAACAATATTCAGTAAAAGTATCCATGTTATTTAACCATTTAAAGTCCATAGTCAGGTTCATGATATTGATCAGAATATATGAAAGTGATAGTTAAGTCTTATTAAACAACAATCCGATATCATTTAACTTTGAACATTATTCATATAACATATTTGCAAATAAGAATAGTAAACTGTGAGTATACTCATTTGATATGAGATAATATATGACCGTATGTTTGGTGATGATAATCTCATTTCAAGTTGTTAAATATCTAATTGCCCCCAATACTATGATAGTTATAACCTGATTATTGTATATGAATATATGAATTGTCATATTTATTATTAGAATAAAATGAAAGCTTTAATGTGTCTCATATATTGTATAACTGATAATAATGATAGTTATGGTTATTATTATTTGCAAAGATGGATAGTGGTTAGCAATGGAATTCAGGATGGACGTTTTGTTGTTATAACTTGTGACCGCCGATTAGAGAGCAGTGAATTATCGATCGGAGCAATGACGCGTAAACCTTTACGAGCAGTCTAGAGTTCTGATTGATCTAGCTTCTTTCCCAGCCCAGCCAGTTAAGTTCAGAACACCAATTCGAGCTTCTGTGATATGAATCATGTATTTCAAACATACTCTATTTATATACCAAACAAGCAGACCACAACGTACCATAAAATAGGAAATAACATTTATACAAAATCTGGCCAAGAGTGGCTGTGAATATGGGAAATAGTAATGGATAGATTGGGCATAATTCAAGAATGGAAAATCCTATAATAATAGTTCATAGATCAAAATAAAGCTCATAATAAGAGGGATATGATTATGCATAGTTTAGTTAATTAACAATTATACGATAAAACTATACGTATAGTATTGGTCCACAAATGGATACCAAAAATTACCACTCATTATTCTTATCAGGGCATAACATTTGTCCGATTTGGAACTCGTCAAACAGATGTACCTATATCTCACAGTTGATGTTCGCTTTAGGACTTGAACTCATTACCATTCGCTTGAAACACCATAGCATGATCATCCACTTAGTTACTAAGTCCTTGTGTAATAGGATGAAGTGTAAATTCACTTAAATCTTTCTATTGAGGTTTTTAAAACTGTAATTAATCAATCTGTTATTGACATATGTTCATACTGTACGTATTACCTTAATATTGTCTTAATTTACAAGCATCATCATCATCATCATCATCATCATCATCTATTCATGATAACAAATTAATTAATGTCACATCTATTACGTCATTTAAATGTTGATTCGATGTTGTTTTTAATTAAACTCACTAATACTTCACATTAACTGATAAGATAATTCGATTCAATGATCAATTAGTTATTTACATTTTATGAGGATGTAGCTGATAAGTTAGCTGTATTCATTGTACTAATATCAGCCACAACATTATTATTATTAGTAGTAGTATTAGTAGTAGTACTATTAGTAGTAGTAATAGTAGTATTGTTTAAGTGAACTAAATAATTAAATATACATTAATATTTATCATTTAAAAGTTTATATTGATGTAATTTATGATTACATACATTCAATGATCAACAATGAAATGGTATGGAATTTTAAAAAATTGCCTTACCATTATTATTACCATTATTATTATTATTATTATTATTATTATTATTATTATTATTAATACATTTCAATATAAATAGTATCGAATCATGTTTACTTGTATAAAATAAGAATAAACAAATATAATATAAATTTTTAATGATTGAATATTGACAATTGAACATTCATTAAAATTTTGCGGGAATTTTCAAAATTTCAAAAATTAAATTATCAATGATTTGGAAATTAATATTCATGAATTTATTGATTATTAAAACAATTCATAATACTATTCATACAAATCATAATGAATATAAAGGATTATTAGTTTTAACAAATAATAATAATATTTATACAAGAAGTTATTTTTCTAATAAATTTATTAAAGAAGAAGAACAAATTGAAGAAGAATCTATTGAATTACCAGAATATATTCAAGAAGATAATGATTCTTTGAATAATTTCAATGTGTCAAACTCATCGTCTAATGAAACAAGTACCAATTCATCATCATCATCATCATCATCATCATCATCATCATCATCATCATCATCATCATCATCATCATCATCATCACCATCATCATCATCATCATCATCGTCATCACCATCATCGTCGTCGTCATCATCTCAAAGAGTAAATAAAACAAAACTAAAACAATCTACAAATCGTCGTAAAATATTTCGTAAACATTCAACTTCTATAGATATGGGATTTAGTGGAAGCTACTTTATTTGTTCTAATGCTAATTCATCATTGAATATTGCAAATATATTCTATAATATTTATGCTTTATTATGTATTACATGTTTCATAATGGTTACTTAAATATGAATGTTCTATTGTTCCATTTTATATTATCATTTGAATGACTTGTTTCATATCTGATCCAACATTTATCATAATCTTCTGGTATATATATATATATATATATATATATATATATATATTTCAAATAAAGTTGAATCATTCATTCATCATTTCATACTTTATATATATTTGACAAGTATTTTTGTATAAACTACTCATGATTGCTAAAAGACTATATTTATCAATTGATTTATTTATTAACAGAAGGAGTTCTGTGGAGATTGTAGTAATTTCAATGGTTAAGATCATAAGTCAGTTGAAGCTAGACTACCATCATGGAAAACCTGGAAGCACTGGCCGGTCGTTTCGTACTTTTATGGGACTCCTCAGTAATGCTCATCCACAATCTCGTCCCCCCCTGCGAGGTTCCAGGTATTCTAGGTTTACCATGGTGGTGGTCTAGCTTCAACTGACTAATGATTTTAATTATTTATCTATTGTTGAATTACTAGAAAACTCGAAGATTTAGTTTCTTGCTAGTTGAAGCTATTCAATAATGCGTTTCTGAAAACTTGACAATACATAGGTTCCTTTTGTTAACTAATCCTGTATATCTTTATATTATAAAATTAACTTTTGGGATAACTTTAATTACTTATAGCCTTTTCACATCAGTGCTATAAATGACTATTTGCGTATAAACAGGTTCTTATTGTTCAAGGTGGTAAGGAGTTCAAAACTGTTATTTCTGAATTTATGCTACATAGTTTCATCTAATCAATTAATGTAAATATGTCATTATTGAGATTGTGAAGTGTTACTTGTCTAGCAACCTGTTACATAAGTTTTCTCTTCAAATTTATTCTCTGTAACCATTAAGCCTTTTTTATTTTGACGTTTAACAACTATGCTATTGTTATGTTTGAAGAGATTATGAATTCATCTAATATGAGAACGGAACGAAGACTCTGTGACATAAATGACCAATAAGCTATCTGTTCCAATCTGTTCCAACCAACCTAACTAGAGAGAGACAAACCAACAATAAGCATAAATCAATCGTATATATACAACATTAAAATGTCCTTAATAAACGGTACAAAATAGAATACTAAAACACATAACGAATCAATACAAGTTAAGTTCCTCCCAAGTGGGAAATACGACATGACGGTGAAAATGAGCACACTTGGCGCGAAAACAGGAAATTCAAATAGTTCAAATAGAATTACAAAAATAAGACATTTATCAAGTGAGTTCTGGGGATCTAACATCCCTAACAGTTATAATGAAGAATAACAGACTAACTAGAAATTTAATAAATCTAATAGCTTGATAGATTTAGAGGCATAATTCAATGATTAAAGATTTGTTTTTTCTATAGTTTGTCATTCTTGAGTTCATTGTAATTAAGTCTTTCTGAATTGTTATGGAAGCTATTAGCATTAATGCAACTAATGGACTTATCCATAGAAATTAGTGTGCAGCATTTCAACTTGAGATATCCACTTCATTTTCACTTCCATCAGTCAGTCATTCAGTCAGTGGTTTTGAGTGCTGTTAGGGATATGAGGTTTGTTATCACTTCCCGGTCGACAACACCGTGGAAGGGTTCTTCTGGTGGTACCTGAAAAGGAGATTGGGTTAGAAGTGGTCTTTGTGACCTGAAAGCGTGACCGCAGTGCCCAAGGGACAGCTGCTTGAGGTCGGTCACACACGACAGTTTTGTGTTCGCTCCGTACTTGTTGAGACCTTATCGCCGAAGACGGATATCCGTGGGATAAGGCGAAATGTGCATTTTCAGGGTCAACCTTTTCTAACCCCACCCTTCCTTATGGTAAGCCAGCATTGCTGTTATGCTGCTTGTCTGAAAGAAACACCTAACTGCTGTCACACCTCTGTACAGTCAGCAGTACGACTTGGCCTTCGGAACTTGGATTTGTTGCTTTTAGTCTTACCACTCTTCAATCGACCTGTCTGACATTATAGGACCTTCAGGGACGGTTGTTACAGCCAGTATAGCTCAGTCGCTTCATCACGATAGACAAGCTCGACCACCACGTCAAGGTAGCAACAACGGTCAGGTTCACTTCAATCAACCTTCTATATTTCTATTAAGCTACTTAACCTCCAGTTTATTAAGTACATCTACATATTATAACAATACAATAAGATATTTCAGTGATAGTATCAATGTAGGCTTAGAGGAGTTTTATTATTACGTAATAAATCAATCGAAAAGTAGTATACTTACTGATAAATGTTAGTTCAAAAGTTGTATCAATGTACCAATTTTTTATTAAACTTGACACTTTAGTTTAAAACAAGTCAGATATTCAAATTCACTTGGTATTGTTTTCACATGAATCTTCCCATTGATGTTTAGGATTGCAATTGACCAGTCTCTTATTGGCATATATGTATACTGTGCATATTGCCTCGAAATTACTTTAATTCACAAGCATTATAAGCAAACGATAGATGGTGGCTAGTAGTAGAATCCATTTTAATGCGCATTTCATCCTATTTGGATCTAAGTGGATAATATGATAGAGTTTAAAGTGAACGGTTCTGGGTTCGAGTCTCGAAGTGAGCATTTAAAAACTCCGAGGTGCAAGTACATCCAACTGACGTGTCCCAAATAAGAAGAAACACACGTTCTTGATTCCACTGCTAGCTACTATTTGTCTTTGCTTATCAAGTCAGATATTCACTGATCGCTGGAATAGATTTGAAAACACCATCTATTGATATCACCATTCAACAAATGATCATTAGATTCAGTCTTATTGACAAAGTTAGGATAAATAATTGTAGGTATTGTATAATTCTAAACTAAGAACATCATTAGTAATTGCTTATAGGATTCCTGTAAACAATCGTTTTTTGAAATATTCAACTTAGTTTCATATAACTTTCCATAAGATCTATAACTAATATAAACAACTATAGAATCGGTATTGGTATTATCCTCAATCATTTCAGTCAATAGAGTATTATTAACACATGGTGAATTCAATTTCATTGGTCAATTAGCAAATCACAATTTTACATTTTACAATTTTTTTTGTTTAAAAAAAATAACTACTGATAAATTACTGAAATAGTCAATCAGTGTAAAAACGATTGTCTCGAATATAGGTTGATTACATACTGTTCCCTTGAAATTCAACATATATATATATACATATATCAGAAGGGGTTTTCTGGATAATATAGTAATTTCAATAGTTGAGATCATGAGTCAATTGAAGCTAGATCATCATGGAAAACCTGGAAGAACTGGACGGCTGTTTCGTCATATTGTGAGACATCTCCATGGTAGTGCTCATCCACAATCCCGCCTCGAGAAATTCGAATCCAGGACCAATTTGTCTTGCACGCGAACGATTAACTTCTAGACCATTGACCTGATCGTCATCCAACGGTATTAGTGTTTAACTTGAACTAATTCACGAAATTGAGTGACACATCCATCAGTGTCTTTAGTGAGTTACTATCTTACAACAGAGGAGTCTCACAATAAGACGGAACAACCGCCTAGTTCTTCCAGGTTTTCCATGGTGATCTAGCTTCAATCTGATATTTATTGGGCTATAATGTCGCAAATCTATCAAAAATGAATAACTGTTCATTATTATTATTATTATTATCATTAAAGCAACCCGTTAAGAATCGGGACATTTCATGCTTTCTAACCAAAGAAAAAATAAATGCTCCACCCTAAATTACTTCTTCTGAAAAATAAAATGCAAATCCATTGTAATTATGGGTTAGAAAAAAGAAAAAAATAATAAAAATAAAATTTTCGTTTTATTTTCTATATATAAATAAGACAAATCTCGTAACCATAGTAACAATAATTGTCTACAATTTTCATAATGTATACCAAATAGGTTCATTCAAATAATCAATGATAACTAATAAATGAGAACTGATTGTTATGAATAGTTACTTTCTGGTTACATATTAAATGATTCTTATCTTAAGTTCAATTATCCATGGGTGTTATAAAGAAATTCCTTTTTTGTTTTAGGGGTAATCACTTCTTCTTCTTCTTCTTCTTCTTCTTCTTTTTCTTCTTCTTCTTTTGCTTCATCTTCTTCTGACCTTTACATGAATAAAGAAGTCATATAAGAGAAACAGGTTAAATGAAAAAGAATTTTATAGAGAGAAGTTCATAATAAGTTGGTTTTCATAAAGTTAAAATGAGATTAGATGTTTTTTTATTATTTTAAAATCCACCATAATTTAATGATCTAATAGAGAATGATCTACTAAGGTTTGAGCCTTTGATTTTGTCTGAATGATTATAAAATTAAAACGGAAAGAAACTTGATCCGAATCAAAAGTCTACCTAATAAATTGAAGATAACCACATCCACCATTGTCTTCAGTGAGTTACTATCTCACAACAGACCTGGTTGGACTCCACTGGTCACTACTTCTCACTAGAACTCCAGGATATACATCTTGAAGCCAGTTACTAGTGAGCATATGTTGATTATCATCAGAAGGGTGTTTTGTGGAGATTGTAGTAATTTCAATGGTCAAGATCATAAGTCAATTGAAGCTAGACCACCATGGAAAACTTGGAAGCACTGGACGGTCGTTTCGTCCTATTATGAGACTGCTCGGCAGTGCGCATCCACGACCTCGCCCCTTGAGAGATTAGAACCCAGGACCTACTGGTTTTGCGCGCGAGCACTTGACCACTAGACCACTAGATAAGTTTTTTCACTCAATAAACCAATGTCTGTAAAATATAAAAGATTTAAATTTAACTTGCTAACATACTCCTGTTATCCCAGGTCATCTGCAAAGTTCAAATCTTCTAACGGATTCCGAGCTGTCCATTGTATTCCATGTTCCCTCTCAGATATAGAGTTTTTCATAATCCATTCAACCATCAGAAGAAAGAGGAAGGGAGAAAGTAGGCAGCCTTGTCTTTACTTGTCTTTATTTCGAACTTGTCTGTCAGCTGTCTTCTATGCATCACTTTGCAGTGTAGTCCATCGTATGAATTCCGTATTGTATTGACGATCTTCTCAAGTACATCATAGTGTCGAAGACGTTTGCATGAAGTTCTCCTATCCACACTGTCGAATGCATTCTGATAGTCAATGAAGTTGGTGTATAGTGATGAGTTCCATTCAATTGATCGTTCACCAACTATCCGTAGTGTGGCGATTTCGTCTATGCACGACTGATCCTTACGGAATCTAGCATTTTGATCTTGATGTTGGGCATTTACTTTATCTTTCATCCGGTTTAGTAACACTCTGTTGAATTTTTCTATTCTTGTTCTACTGTTGTTAATTGCGGTCTTGTCGTTTTTCCTTTCTTGAATGTTATCCAGGATTTACGCACAGATTTATTCCTTATGATGATACTTCTTGCGGCCCAGAACTTACTGACACGTTGGAGTTGGTGCTTTTTTGATCCTTTTCTAATTGTCCTCCATAGTGGTTTCTTCTACTTTGAGTAGATCATGTACGGCTTAGAACCTATTGTTGAGAGCTATGTTGAATTGGTTGAGTTTATAATTATCTCAAAAGAAAGATGTATTGAGCCTTCGTAATGCTGTTTCCCCAGTTTTCCAGTGCTTCTCTGGCTTTAGTTTCATCTTGGCAATTACCAGGCAATGATCCGAAGCTATATCAGCTCCTCTTCTGGTTTTCACATCTTCCATTGACTTTCTGAATTTTTAGTGATATAAATATGATCGATCTAGTTCTCTGTCATGTGATCCGGTGAGACCCATGTAAATTGTGTGTGTGTGTTAATGTGGAAATATTGAGCTACATAAAACCATTCTGTTGAATGCACATAAATTTGAAAATCTGTCACCATTCTCGTCCCTTTCTCTCAGCCAGTCTATGTCGTCACATGATACCTTCATAACCGCTGTTGTCCATTCCGAATTTGGAGTTTAGATCTCCCATCAGGATCGTCAGGTCCTTTCCTGAGCTACTATGTACGCTATAAGCGAAAAAAACGATATGTACATAGAAAGAATAGAATATACCGAGTTAGATAACAAGAAACGATCATGAAGTGGTGAGATTAGATCACTTCCATTCTTGTTACTTCATAAATGTATTACATTTCTAAGTAAAATTTTAGTTTGAAGTGCTGAATAGGAATTAGAATATTCTCATATATCAATTGAATAGTTACATCTATTATGATTTGGCTCAAATTATTTAATATTGATTTGTGAGATTTCAAAATGCCTAGCAACATGAACATATAGGCGAAATTATAATTTATGAACGAACCAATCACGTATAGGATAACAGGTCTCGGATTTCGGCGCGAAACTCACTCATCCATTTGGCTAAATAGAGTTTTGGCATTATAGCTGATGTCAGTTCGTGATGAAAACCCTAAGTCTAATTCCTAACCCTAACTATCAACTGTAAATTATAATTCTATTTCCACACACTGGTTTATAACCGTAATTTGGTCCTGGTTATTAGATGAACACATTCAAGGTCAGTTTGGCGTCTCTTAAAGGTCGTCCATAAATTGTAGTTTCACTGAGATTAGATTTAAGAAATAATAAACGATGTTTAAAACAATCGAAAGTTTTATCCAAGTTAATTTAAAAATGTATACGTTTCATATCTTCCTTAATTATGTATACCAGTAAACAGAATTATTCATTTGTATTGTCATCATAACTCTTCTAAATGAAGAGCTTCTCACTCCCAAGGCAGAGTTTAAATGGTTTGATTTATTTCTTTTCTGTTTAGTGTTTTTTTTAGCGAGTTAGTTTTATACGGGTTGAGGTCGCTAACCTCATGCCTAACCTTCCTACTTTATCCGGACTTAGGACCGGTAGTGGTTCAAGAGGGGATCCAGGAGAAGTTATTCATTTGTATTAGTAACAAATAAATGTAGGACAATAAATGATTGATATGATGTTTTCTGTGTTCGTTATTAAAGCTTAAATTTGTCCTAATCAAAATATTCGCAATCAAAATTAAATGTATAACTATTACATTTAAATGGATCTATGAAATGTCGAATTCCCAATGTGTCTATACTGTGAAGATGATGAAGATTCGTAACTCAGGTGGATGATTTCGATGAAGTTTTGTTTTCTGAGCTGAAAGGTTTGGTCGTGGAGCTTTAATCGTTCTTCTGAACGACATCATCATCAGCAGCAGCACAAACTTCAGGTAACAAACCATCTAGCTCAGAGAACAAAACTTTATCAAATGGTATTTTATTGTTAAGTCGATAATTCGTATTAAATATCACATGATAATGAGGTGAAATCTTAATGTACTAGTATTTTAGGTTACTTGTGTGTTATGGGCTCCTTTATTTTGACGTTAATTAGATTGGACGATGTTATCGACGGGTTATTCAAACTAGTGATATATATATAAAAGAAAGATTGTGTATAAGGAGATAGTACAGGAAGAAAGAATTCGTTCGTAGAAAGAAAGACATGAAGCGATTTTAATCTCTTAGTTTAAGGGAAGACAGAAAGTGTATACACCGACGCCATTGTGATCGATTCTGAGCCATGTCACCAAGAGTCTCCAACCATTGGTTACGATAGTCACGCGGACCCCAACCAGGTAGTCTGCATCTACCAACATGGCTCAGACCAGAAGTTAGTGACTTCAAGCAATGATGCCACGTTTTGGTTTGGCCGTCCCTAACTTTCTTCCGATTATCGCTAACACCGGTTAGCATTGCGCGTCGTGGTAATCGGTGTTCAGGCATACGCAGCACGTGGCCCAACCATCTCAGTCGATGAAGATTCACAACCTCATCAACTGATTTACCATCATTCCCTAATATCCTGCTTCTAACCTCACTATTACTTACCCGGTGATCCCAGCAGATACCCGCAATATTTCTAAGGCACCTGTGGTCAAATACTAGTAACTTACGAATATCTTCCACTCTTAAAGGCCATGTTTCGCAGCCGTATAGAAGGACGGAACGAACTGCCGCGCAGTATACTCGTCCCTTAATTGATAGACGGATATCTCGCCTTCGCCATAGATGACGTAAATTGGCAAAGGCCAAACGAGCTTTTCGAATCCGTGCTGAGATTTCGTCAGACACCAACCCATTAGGGCTGATTAGACTTCCAAGATAAGTGAAGTTGTCAACGCGTTCGACTACTTCACTCCCTATCCTATCGACTTAAATCGCACCAGTGAATAAAGGAAGTAAATAAGTCAATGAATTTTTCAATATGTTTATTTTGTACACCCATTGATCTGGATAGGGAATCAGAGAAACGAAGCGAAGACAAAAGAGTGAAGCAAAATGAAGCATAGTGCAGAAGGCGTATGAGCCAACTCAATTTAATCAAACATTAATGGATATTAATAGCCGAATAACTAAAAAAAAAATAAGAAGTGCACACATATACCGCCTTAAATGCAAACAGTCAAAGTTGATAAGCGAGTAATTAACAAGGTCAAAATATCACTCGAAAAGGATGGATAAATTGACTTGTCCGGTAACTAGAATATGTTATATAGGCTTGGCATAGTAACCAACATTACAGTGTGTGTGTGTGTGTGTGCGCATATATATATCTCCATTTATATTAATTCAAAAGTAGATTGTTGTTAACTAACAATGATGATTAAAACATTATAAATAAACTCATATAAACTAATCACTATTATACTGTTCCTAATTCGTATATGCCTTATAATATAAACATTAATATACTGGATAAACCTGTTTTTTACTTGATATGCCGGATACTATGAATCAAATAACATGGTTATCTGTATTATATTCTAAGGGATATTTCATATTGATACTAAGTTTTATTACTTTTATTCCTTCATTAGTATCATTAAATGAAATCCATGTATTAAATAGACAAACTAATGGTTATCCACCTATTGAGAAAATATTCTCTAAAGTTAAAGAAGCTGAACAAATTAATTTATTGAATAATGAAAAGATTCAAGTAGAACCTGATCAATTAATTGTGGCTCCAGTGAGATTTAGTCGTTTACGACGTTATTTTAGACATCAAAAACGTATGATGAGAGCACAATATAGAATGATGAGATTACAAAGAAGATTGTATCGTCGACATTATCGTCGTCCATATGGATATGGTTACTTTCCATAATAATAATAATAATAATAATAATAATAATAATCATAATCATAATCATAAGATTGAATCAATTAAACATCAATTATTGTTTTATTATTGATTGCAATGATGAACTTTCTGAGTGTTTATCAATCAAAGTGGTGAGTTATAATATAAAATGAACTGATTCATATCTACATTACTCTATAACATATTACATAACAACTTTCTAATTATCATTATTTAATTGTTTCTATGTAATAATGAATTTACTTGAATAAATCTTAATAAGTTGTCATGGCTTTATTTGTGAAACGTTTAATTATACAATATTATTAGTTGAATTCATGAATCAACCTGGTAACACTTGACGGCTGTTTCATCCTAGAATGGGACTCTTCAACAATGCGCATTCACAATCCCGACTTGAGAGATTTGAATCCAGAACCTATCGGTCTCACGTGTGAATGCTTAACATATAGACCATTGATCTGACCAACGTCTAACGGTGTTAATGTTCAACTTCAAGTAATCCACGAAATTGAGTGACACATCCACCATTATCTTTAGTAAGTTACTATCTCACAAGTAACCCGGTTGAAATCTACTGGTCACTGTCACCCACTGGAACTTTAAGAAATACCTCTTAAAACCAGTCACTAGTGTGCATATGTTGATTAGTATCAGAAGCGGTATTTTGTGGATATTATAGTAATTTCAATAGTTGACATCATGTGTCAATTGGAGATAGACCACCAAGGGAAACCTGGAAACACTTGACGGCAGTTTCATTCTATTATGGGACTCCTCAGCAGTGCGCATCCACGATCCCGCACGCGGGATAACAGCAACTGTATTAAACGATTGTTAAAAGTGTTGAAAAATGGGGAGTTTAAAATAATCCTATTTGGTTAAGAGTTTTGGAAAAATGGCTCATTTAGATTGAAAGATTTTGAATATTTAAAAATTTATGGCACAATAATTGACAGAGGTCATTACTTTTGTTTGACCAAATGGTATATTCAACGAATTTACAAATATCATAACCGTTAGTGTTAAGGGCATAGTATGTTTAATCTCATAAGAAAAAACTTTTGAACATCTCTGCATATTTTACCATTTGTCATTCATTGATTGGTAAGTTTTAATCACTTACTTACGCCTGTTACTCCTAATGGAGTATAGGCCACCGACCAGCATTCTTCAACCTACTCTGTCCTGGGCCTTTTTTTCTAGTTCCATCCAATTCTTGTTCATATTTTTCATGTCTATCTCCATTTCCCGGCGTAATGTGTTCTTTGATCTTCATCTTCACCCACTTTGGCCTTGAGGATTCCATGTGAGGGCTTGTCTTATGACGCAGTTCGGTGCTTTCCTCAATGTGTTTAATCACTTACATAAGTAAAATCTTATCAAATAAGCTTTGTATTCTCGTTTCAGTGTACAGCAGTAGCAATTTAGTATGTTATATGTGTAAATGTTTTCCACAAGATTGAAGCAAAAACTTTATCATACAAATTATTCTTTGTGCAGTGATCGGTATCTTATGTGTGTTGAAATTCTGTCCACCAAGAAAATGTAGTAAAACCATGATAAAGCCATTAATAAATAGATATGATGCTTTACATGATTAGATGATTTATCTTTCTTATTATTACCACTATCCAGTTGCTTTCGATAGAAATTCGATCCTGAAATTGTTCGAAAATCAATAATTATGTCTTTTTTTTTGACAAGTGAATATGACTTGTTTGTATCAAATCTAAAACGGAAGGATTATAATGTATTTACTCAATGATATTAAATCAGTTCTCTGTAACTACTGAAAGCAGTATGAATGTATTTTGTAACGAAACAAATAAATTTTTAACAAGGGTTTTGTGGAGATTTTTAAAAAATTTAATAGTTGAGATCATGAGTCAATTGAAGCTGGACCATCATAGAAAACCTGGAAACACTGGACGTCCATTTCGTCCGAGTATGGGACTTCTCAGCAGTGCACATCCATGATCCTGCTCCCCAGAAGATTCGAGCACAGGACCTATCAGTTTCGCGCGCGAGCCCTTAAACTCTAAATCACTGAACCGGCACTCAACGGTGTTAATGTCTAACTTCAACCAATCCACAAATTTGCGCCACTGTCCACTATTGTCATAAGTGAGTTACTCCATTGGTAACGTCTTCTCACTAGAACTCCAGGAAACACCATTTGAAGTCAGTCACTAGTGAGCAGATAATTATTATTAGCAAGGGGTTTTGTGGAGATTTTTAGAACGTTCAATAGTTGAAATCACGTGTCAGTTGAAGCTAGACCACCATGGAAAACCTGGAAGCACTGGATGATGATCAATAGAACCCTTAATAACATCTAAAAAATTAATCTGATCAAAAATAGATAAGTATACGTCTTATAATATTTTAAGCATATATTCTTAAAACTGTAATGGCTTTGCTTCGTTAACCAATCACCCTCGTAATCGTTATTATAGAAATCTCAACGGTGTTGCAAATTAAAAGGCAATGAGAAGTGGCAACAACAGTTAATTACAGAATAGCACAGATCATAAAGCTATTAGCATATCAAGTGAATTTGAAGCGGACAGAGAGAGAGAGAGACAAATATGTATATGCAAGTAATAACATAGGTGTATCATAGCAAAACAAAGTCTAATAATAATATTTGATTACATCTATACACGGTGAAGAGAATGAATCATTGAGTGATATTTAAGCGATCGCCATTCTAGCTACAGTCTGTCATGAGATCTACCGATCATAATGTTACAAAGGAATATGCAAATTGTTGCTGTCTAAATAACCTAGTCTGTGAAGTAAGTTAATAAAAGAACTTAACCGAAGTTAACCATAATGGAGATTGTTTTTGTAGGATAGTTGGTATAATACAAATTTTCAAACATTCATACAGTTTTATGAAGATATGAATGACTTTTAGGTTAATAGGAGTAGTAGAAACTTTTATATTGTGTGGAATGAAATTTTAGTTGTATGAAACTTTCTAGAACAGTCTATAAAGTTTATTGACCAAAACCTTGAAAGAATTGGATATTATTTTTGACATGTTTAGGCTGTAGGGAACAATTAATTTATGAGTGAGAATCCTACAGTTGGTTATTTGTTACAATGTGGTTTGTTTATTGCCTATCTCAGTTAAACGTTTGTAAGAGTTAATATGAGATGTCTTTCTTGAAATCGGAAATATGATTACCACAATCTTAGGCGGCAGTTTAAGATCATTAATTCTTTGTGAAGTAAACAGTACTTCCTCTTAATATATAATTGGGGTTACTTTCTATGACATTAGAAAGTAATCTCATTCATTTACAAGTACAGAATAAACAAAAACAGAAAACACGACAACATCAGCAAAAATTACTGTTATCGGTTTACCGTTAGATAAGTGCTAAGTTATTTTATGAACTACTGACTTAGATAGATTTTATTTAAACTAATGTAATACATATGATTTTGAGATGAAGGAGAAGATTTTTTAGCTCAGGTAGATTATTTTGATGGAGTTTTGTTCTTGGAGCTGGATGGTTTGGTCGACCAAACCATCCAGCTCCAAGAACAAAACTCCATCAAAATAATGTAATACAGCTACGAGAATGTATATTCAGTAAGTATTCTTAGTAAAAATAATAATCTAACATTTAATCTGTCTACAATTTCACTAGTGAAATGAGATGTAATCCTAGGCGTAACTGTTTTAAGGAAATTCCGGAGGATAGCTAACAGTGAGTGTAGCGAACAAATGATAGTAGTGATATTATTTCGCAGTCGGATAGCGTTAAACTACCCCAGAGAGTCGAAAAGTTAGTTGCGAAGTAATTCGCATGGAAACGATATCTAGAATATGACAATTACGCTTTCGGTATAAAGTTACAAACACTATAATTATGTGTTACTGCATACAGGATTAAAGCAATGGATCTAAAAGATAACTTATTAAGTGTTTTGAAGGGAAATTTTAATTTTAGTCGAAGTCTACGCAGCCTTAAGGAGTTAAATCCATTTGTAATGCATCTGGATTTTTAGTTTAACGCACAAGAGTTGATAAGAGTACACGGTGTGAATTGCCGCTGGTCCGATTCCGACATAATTTTATTCTTTCTGAGAACATTATTCGGAATAAAAGTTTAGTATTCTACGATTGGTTAGACAAAATTTACACATTAAAATATGTGAATCATTGTTCAGGAAATTAAGTAGTATATAACCAAGAAGTTACTGAAACTTAGTAATCTGTGTTGAAACGTGTTATCAGAAGGATAAGTCCATAAGTTCACTACTACTTTAAATCTACATAACACCTTACCATTTATAGAAAAGTTGAAAACGGAAAAATGTTTACCAAAGTGAATCCATCCAAATTTCTCACTGTGAAGAACCGACCTCCATCTCGCGCACTACACGATGACTTAGACAAATTTGAACATGTTCATTGAAATATCTTTACTGATAAGTATTGTTATCATTGTGTAAATGATAATTTAATTATTTTATTCGTTGCCTTGGCATTCTGTCGTATTTTTTGCAATCAGCTATTGTAATTCTCATATTTGTACATGAATTCATGTTATAAAATCAATTGGAAATATTCAGAAGGGGCTTTGAGGAGATTGTAGTAATTTCAATGGTTAAGATCATGAGTCAGTTGAAGCTAGACCACCACCATGGAAAACCTGGAAGCACTGGACGGCCGTTACGTCCTATTATGGGACTCCTCAGTAGTGCGCATCCACAACCTCGCCCTCTGCGAGATTCGAACCCAGGACCTACTGGTTTCGCGCCTGAGCACTCAACCACTAAACCACTGAGCCGGCATCCCACAATAAGACGAAACGGCCGTCCAATGCTTCCAGGTTCTCCATGATGGTCTAGCTTCAACTCACTCATAATCATAACCATTGAAAATAATCACTTTTGTTTAAGCTTCTCAACTATGGATAAACATCAGTGAAGAAAACTTTACAACCTCAGCTACCTTGGAAACTATTTTTGGTGAAACTATAATTCATGGACGACATTTAAGCAACGCCGGAATGACCTTAGGAATGTCCATCTAATAACCAGGACTAAACGAGGGTTATAAAACAGTTAGAATTTTCATTTATAATTGATGATCAAGGTTTTCATCATAAACTGACATCAGCTGAAAATGTTAAAACCAAATGGATGAATAAATGGGTGGTAAGAAATGCCCAAGCATACAACGGCATACAAGCTTCACAAAGATAAAATTACAACATATGAGTTTTGGTGATCTAACGTGCCCAACATAAACTAACCAATATTTAGTCAATATATTATTTGTATCAAACAGATATCTCTTATAGAATCGTTTAAATCTTTCTAGTTCATAGAGAACTTTGTATAAGTTTTCATATAGGATCCAACATGAGATAGATTGTTATCAGATATCGTTATGATGGACATCATTAAACAATCAGTCTTAGTTCTTTATTGGTTTTTCTGTAACAGTGAACACTATTGGAGCAAAATATATCATAAAATGACCACTCAATATTTACGAAAGCAACCCCAGTGAACTGATGATTTATATAGACGTATAACTTGACACTGGTGAAACAAATTCATTCTAAATCATCTCTCCATAGAGATTACTTTACCTGTAAATGTTCTAGACTCTGGAATAATCTACCACAATCTATTCGTACGATAGAATCATTCCGATTCTTTGTTCGCTGTATTGATGCATACTGCTCCTGTGAAAATACATTAAATGTTCTAGCACCTGTAAGTATACCTTATTCCACAAGTGAGATTGTAGGAACTTTTAATGCTTAGTTATTCTTATTAGTGAATTTCATAAGTAAAACCACTTACCTCCTCTTACTTTACGTTAACACTGTCCCTAGCAACCTTAACTAATTTGTATAACATCTTACATTAATAGTATATCACTGTGTCACGTGACACATGCCTTATATCAGACCTGATGAACATTATTTTAGTAGATATTGCTTTATTGTTCCATGCTCTCTATTTTTGTTTTACTTTCTCTAGTTGTAGATAATTATCATTCAATTGAGGTGTTGTGGAGATTGTGAAGTTTTTGATTGAGATCATGAACCGACTGATGTTAGACCACCATTGAAAACCTGGAAACCCTGTACGGCCGTTTCGTCCTTTTGTGGGACTCCTCAGCAGTGCGCATCCACGATCCCGCTCGCGGGATTCGAACCCAGGGCCTTCTGGCACAAGAAATAACCTAAAATACACAGTCTATAAATCAACCGGCTGTGTCCACTTAAGAAAAATTAAAAGTTCTCGGCTGATACATTGAATTGCTGTAATACATGTATTACCTAAACGATTACTGAATTAGTATACTACGAACTCTCTTATATCATACGTTTATTCCCTATATCGAGTGATACTGTGATGTGGGTTACTTATATTCACACAAGTAGTTAATGACGGTGGTCAGGCATAGAATGTATTTCAGTAGAAGGTCGATGAGGAAAGAACGGGAACAGAACGCAGTTGGTATGAAAATGAATGAACAATGAAATCTGACACAATGGATTGATGTTTGTAACGGGAACAGATAAGCTTGAGATGATGGATTGATATTTTGCATATCAACTATTTACTACATGGTTCTCAGATTTTATTGAAATGCTCTGTAATTATGTGCCTAAATACATTCGATTGTCCCCACCCGTGTTCTGTTCACTACGATACTATTTATATGGGATTGATCATACCTGTAAGAATGTTGTATGTGTGAAAATCACAGCGAATGAATTTGAAGTAAATCCAACGTTTCACTTGACATTAGAGTCCAAGCTTTTACAAGGAAATATAGAATCAAACATTGAAATTATCGACTATAAATAGGTGCTGATGATGTCGTTCAGAAGAATGATGAAAGCTCCACGACCAAACTATCCAGCTCAGAGAACAAAACTCCATCAAAATCATCCACCTGAGCTACAAATGTTCTTCACCATCTCAGGTCCATGATTCTCCGGTTCACTGTATACTGAATAGGTCATCCAATTAACGTGAACAATGTTTAAATTAGGTCATTGCTTTAGTGTATTAGAGATAGGTGGTGTGAAACGAATAGTGTGTTAAGATAACAAATTATGTGTATACGTAAGTGAGAAGAAAATTCGGTGGTTATACCAATTACTTATATACACATAATCTGTTATCTTAACACACTTTTCGTTTCACACCACATATCTCTTATACACTAAAGCAAACACTTAATTTAAACATTGTTATCGTAGATTAGATGATGAACCGGAGAACCATGTACCTATTTATAGTCGATAATTTTGATGTTTGATTATATCTGATTGAAAAATCTCGGTACGGATTGGCAAGCAGAATGTTCAGTTTACTTCAAATTCATTCGCTGAGATTTCCCTCTTTAATGTCTCATATCAACTTGTCGCCCAAATATTGTAAAATTATTTCGATCAAATTTAGACGGAAAATTCTTATTTATTATTGTTATTATTATGATTTTGTATGATTGAAGACCTCGACATCTGAAGGAAAACACAGCATACAATGGACAGCTCAGAACCAATTAGACGATTTCGACTTCTCAGATGACCTAGCCCTCCTATCGCATACATACGAACAAATGCAGATAAAGGCAGCCAGCATAGCAGCAGTATCTGCATCAGTAGGCCTCAACATACACAAGGGCTAAACTAAGGTCCTCAAACACAACACGGAGAACAGCAATCCAATCACTCTTGATGGCGAAACTCTGGAAGATGTAGAATCCTTCACATACCTGGGAAGAATCATCGATAAACAAGGAGGTTCAGATGAAGACGTAAAAGCAAGGATTGGCAAAGCAAGGGCAGCATTCTTTCAATTGAAGAACATATGGAACTCAAAACAACTGTCTCTCAACCAATATAAAATTCACAATCTTCAATACGAACGTCAAGGCAGTTCTACTATACGGAGCTAAAACTTGGAGAGCTACTACCATCATCAAGAAAGTATAAGTATATATACTCAACATCCATTGACCAGATACCATCAACAACAGCCTTTTCTGGGAGAGAACCAACCAGCTTCCAGCTGAAGAGGAAATTAGGAAAAGACAATGGAAATGGATAGGACATACATTACACAAATGATCAAACTACATCATGAGACAAGCGCTAACTTGGAATCCTGAAGGAAAGCGGAAAAGAGGAATACCAAAGAACACATTACATCGAGAAATAGAAGCGGATATGAAAAAGACGAATAACAACTGGAAAGAACTGGAAAGGATTGCCCAAGACAGGGTTGAATGGAGAATGCTGGTGAGTGGCCTATGCTCCTTGACGAGGAGTAAAAAATTTTAAATGATTCTTTAAAATTTATATTAAATAGATAGAATGATTGTCTATGATCTAGTTTCTAATTAACCATCTATCTGTGTATATACTGTTAATTTTAATAATCAACAAGTTGTATTTAAAAACAAATTAATAAAATGTATTTATCAATATGAATATGAATTCAATGTAAACAATAAATAGCCTGTTATAGTAAACCATTAAACTGATGTTTATATATAGATATACATAGATAGATCTATGTGCCTAGTGTTACATTGTAACTACCTAACTACCTAACTAACTAATGGAATGATAATAGTTTAGGTGTTACTATGTACTTTTAATGTCATTAAAATATTCCCTTAGTGATAATAATCAAATAACTCATATAAATAGACCATAGATACTAGATATTGAATTATACAAAATGAATAATCTAAAATTATTATTATTATTATTCTATATAAGTTTTTTATTCTATTTTCATTATTTTATTCAATCTACAATGACTTATACCATTGAACAATCATCAGTCAATCATATTTATATTAAACTAAAAGACATAGAAGAACAAAACAATCTATGGAAGAATAAACTAAATCATGAGAATCAATCACAATTATTCATGATAAGTCCAGTAAGACCTGGGGTTTGGAAGAAATCTAAACGAAATAATAAACATAAACGTAATAAAAATCGTCGAAAACTTAATCGTCAAAAGAAAATCATACGTTATCTATAAAAAAACTAGTATTCTACATGAACTAATTTACTACTTAAATGTTATTTACTACTTAAATGAATTTTCATTTTATATATTGACAAATAACGATACTACTTGTAAGTTTGAATATATATATATATATATATATATGGTAAATGAGAATATCACATGTATGTTTGATTTACTATTACTAATGTTGAACTAATATTGATAAGATTTACTGTGGTTGTATTTTATTATTATTACTTACTACTATCCATCTTCCTACTACTACTACTACTACTACTACTACTACTACTACTACTACTACTACTACTACTACTACTACTACTACTACTACTACTACTACTACTACTACTACTACTACTACTACTACTACTACTACTACTACTACTACTACTACTACTACTACTACTACTATTACTACTACTACTACTACTACTACTACTACTACTACTACTACTACTACTACTACTACTACTACTACTACTACTACTACTACGACTACTACTACTACGACTACTACTACTACTACTACTACTACTACGACTACGACTACTACTACTACTACGACTACTACTACTACTACTACTACTACTACTACTACTACTACTACTACTACTATCAACTCGTACTTTTACTTATTGTATTCAATGACGTAATCTATTACATTTGAGACGATTGAATCGAATTGCCTTGATTAATTTAACATTTTTATATAATGCTTCATGTATATTATTTAAACAATCATTCCATTTGAAATTTCAACTTAGTAACTATCGTTTTATGTTTATTAAATGTTTCACTTATGAATATCCTTTCATGATAAACTTAGTTTACTAAGTTAAAACTTATAGGAGTTAACTTTGTACGATTGATTTGTTTAAATAAACATTCATCATTTATTGAATATTTTCGAATTCATAAAATATTAAAAATTTATCCATTTTTTTAATGGTCTAGTGGTCAAGTGTTCACGTGCAAGACTAATAGGTCTTGGGTTCGAATCCCAGGAGAGGAATTGTAAATGCGCACTGTTGACAAGTCTCATACTAGGACGAAACGGCCATCCAGTGCTTCTAGGTTTTTCATGATGGTCTAACTCTAATTGACTCATCAATTCGACTATGAAATGTTTAAAATAAAAAAATTTGGATGCTAATATTGTACTGTAATGTCTTTTGAAATCTGACATTATACAAATCAAATTATCTCATTGATAATAAAACAAGAAGTGGCTGAATATTTGAAAGTACATACGTAGTATTGATTAGAGTGGCTGATAACCAAGTAGTAACTATTGTCATATTCTCTAGTTGTAAGTATCACTGTGATCAGATTATCCAAGTTTACCAATTCTGAACAAGCTTATAGCGCTTAACAAAGTATTCTGTCATATATAGGTCGTATAGATCAGTCAGTGTATAGAGAGTGAATCGATAGACTTCGAATTACCAAAAGATAGTAGATTACAAAGTAAAATACATCATTTATGCTTCTCAATCTTACAGAAGGTAATTTATGATCTCAGTAGATCAACAAGAAGCATCATATCCTTCTTCTTTCAAATCAATAAGTATTGGACTACGTTAAAACAAAGTTTAGCATCGATATGTTCTGAATATACTAGTTTTCCATGGTTCTACAAGGTTCAGGGTCTGAATCCTGTAAGCGGTATTGTGGACGTATACTGCTGACAAGTTCCATAATAAGACGTAACACCTGTCCAGTGCTTTCAAGTTTTCAAAAATGGTCTAACATCAATCAATTCATGATCTCAATCAAAATACAAGATCTGTTATATATTTATATCACATGTGAATAAAGGTTAAAGTGATACTTCTTTTCATCATAATCATTGTCTTGTATTTCAAAGTAAAACAAACAAACATACATACATACATACATTTCCTCTTGTTTCATTATCAGTTAGACAAAGATCTATCCCGTTGAAATTAGTCAGAACTATAGTAATCTTATCTATTCTTTACTTTAATCAAGTTTCCATAAAGGATTTCCGTGTTGGTTATTTTTTTTTTCGTTCTTCTTCATCTTAACTACATTCATTTTCATAAACATTTCAATCTAATCAACAAACAAACAAACAAACAAAAACTGTTATTCTGTGATTACATTAGGTGTTATGGATCATTTATGGTTTGCCAACTTAGTTACTAAAATATTCCTTAATTTGGACAAATTATAATGGATAATAGGATATAGAAAATGAATAGAACTGAACAAATTAATAATAATAATAATAATACGATTTGAGACTAAGAGAATAGTGTATAAGGTTTCAAGTTAAGGTTGATATTAATACAATTATAAAGGTTAAGATCATGAGTCAGTTGAAGCTAGACCACCACCATGAAAAACCTGGAAACACTGGACGGCCGTTTCGTCCTATTATGGGACTCCTCAACAGTGCGCACCCACGACCTCGCCTATCGCGAGATTTAAACTCTCAAATTGATGTGAATGATTCAAATGATCTATATCTACTGTTAGTGAATATCGCACAGCCAATAAGTTATTCATTCAGTTAACTTTCCATCAAATAAGTATAATCTAATTTGCCAAAAAGTCACAAAACATCAATCATGTAATAACATTTCATTTTAGTTGTAATTATGAAATTTTAAAACATTTGAAGTAAATGACTCCTTGAATATCTGGGCTACCTCTGTTCTTACCATCTGGATATTTCAATAAGTTATCTGTTTTCTTATTTGTTTTAACACATTATTATGTTCATTAACCGTATAATCTATTCAGGTGCATTTATGAAAAGTTTACTATCTTTCTCTATACAAGTTACAAAACAGATAGCAATATACATTGAAAAGAATAGTCATTATTCATATGTCGATGGACTGGACTGTTAACAACTAACTGATGAAACATTCATTATGTTATCGTTAGGATTGATCAAGAAATAAGGAAAGGACATTTGTTGGAATACTTTCAGCTAAGAATTCTATATTGTACCAAAAACTACAATATTGAATAAAGCTAATAATAATAATCCAAAGTCAGAATTTTCAATACAAATGTCATGACAGTTCTACTGTATGGGACGGAAACCCGGAAAACTACGAAATCCATCGTCCAAAAGATACAGGTGTTTATTAACAGTTGTCTACCCAAAATACTTCAGATCCGCTGGCCGGACACTATAAGCAACAACCTACTGTGGGAGAGAACAAATCAGATCCCAGTGGAGGAAGAAATCAGGAAGAAGCGCTGGAAGTGGATAGGACACACATTGAGGAAAACACCGAACTGCGTCACAAGACAAGCCCTCAAATGGAATCCTCAAGGTCGAAGGACGAGAGGAAGACCAAAGAATACATTACGCCGGGAAATGGAGATAGATATGAGAAAAATGAACAAGAATTGGATGGAACTAGAAAAGAAGGCCCAGGACAGAGTGGGTTGGAAAATGCTGGTCGGCGGCCCATGCTCCATTGGGAGTAACAGGCGTAAGTAAGTAAGTAAGTAAGTAATAATAATAATAATAATTATTATTATTATTATTGTTTATAAGCCAACAATAAACTATAATTTACTCTATAACCAGTAAGTTTGTATTTTGTCCTTAATACTAAGATACTAATCATGTTCACATATCCAATCTTCTATGTTTCATTCATGTATGTGTATATTTCTGCTACGATATTTTGAATTTATGCAAAATCTTCTAATTTATTAAAATGATGAGTATTACCTGAATAAAGATTTCTCTTTCAATGATCATACTGTTAGCTACATTTTCGTTTCAGTTACATCTTCGTCAGACTATACTCCACAACCCCAATACTGATAATTACCATGTGTTCACTAGTGACTAGCTTCGTGAGGGAATTTTTGAAGTTTTAGTGAGAAACCGTGACCAGTCGAGCTAATTCGTGTCGGGTAGAGACAGGTATCTACCTTAGTAAAAATGGAAGATGGTCGCGCAATTTTGTGAAGTGGTTGATGTTAGACACTAACACCATTGGATGCTGGCTCAGTGGTCTAGAGGTTAAGCGTTCGCGTAGAGGACTGAAGGCCCTGGGTTCGAATCCCGCGAGCAGGATCGTGGATGCTCACTGCTGAGGAGTCCCATACTAGAACGAAACGGCCGTCCAATGCTTCTAGGTTTCCAACGATGGTCTAACATCAATTGGTTCATGATCTCAATCCAAAAAACTTAATAATCTAAACAACCCCAATACTTATACTCTAATATACAGTAATGTATTTATATATGCACATAAGAAATGAATTAAACTAATCAAGGCAGTTTATGAGTCAATGATGATAACAGTGGAACAGATTACATAAATAAGTGTAAAGTACAAATTGATAGTAGTGTGATGATACGTGTACTAATTGTCATAAGAATAATAAAGGCTTAAATCAATGTTACATAATCGGAAATAGGTCAATGATTAGAAAAATATAGACACTGTAATAACATTCATAGAAAGATTATAAGATTACGTAATAAGGGGTGTACAAATAATTGAACCGTGAAGCGTATATTTTTCAGAAAAGAAAAGGGTAGGAGGATGTAAAGAAAAATAAATGAAGAAAGAGTATAGAAAATAATAATAAATAAAATCAATTATTAAGGCCAAGGGGGAGATAAGAGTGTTACAAATTTCTTATGAACACAAAGACTCGGCTTGTTGACTAGAATTCCTATAGCTTCTGGTATGTGTAAGAGACGAGATCGAACATCATAAGGAAAACTAGTAGGAATACGATAAATAACTTTAAATGAATTATTACTACATGACCGCTATCAATCAAGTGTGATAGAATCGAGCTGCATATTATCTTGACAGTACCTTTTCCTAACCAAAAAGGGAGATGTTCACTAACCCTTTGGTTCAGTTGTCCAGTAATGCACCCAATATAGCTTTCTTCACAGCAGCAGCTGAATTCGTAAATACACATAGAAGTGGCATAACCAGGTAACTTGTCCTTCAGTTGGGAAATCACCATAGATCGGGTCGAGAAAGGTAGACAGAGGTTGGCTGCATTAAATGTTCTCTTCACTGCTCTTATCAGTCTATCATGTAGTACATCACCAGCTACATCTCCATTGAATTGCAACTTCAGGAAGAGAGGTTTCTTACTAGATGTTGATGTCACTATTTCCTTGTTTGTTACACGCAAGTGTTTCTTCAGGAAACCCAGTGGATAACCTATTTCAATCAACATATTGTGTTTGAGCTCTGATTCTTTGTTAATTGTATCGATTGAAAATATCTTAATAACTCTATTTGCCAGATATTTGAGTAAGTTTCTCTTATAATGAATGGGTACAAAGCTTAAGAAATGTGGGGATTGGCCTTATGAAGAATTTTTTCTATACACACTTCTACTAATACAACCGTTTTCTTTTCTGTTTAACAAAATGTCAAGGAAGTGTAGTTTATCAGTAGAAGTCAAGCTTATCAATAACATCTTTGAAAGATCCATTTTCTTGCGAAACTATTTGGTACTGATCAGCTGGATTTACTTGCATCTCACAGTTGCTATCCACTCTGGGACTCTATCCCAGTGCCATTTGCTTCAAACACCATCGCATTATCCACTCAGCTACTGAGTCCTGACAAGTCCCAAGTAAAACGAAATGCGCGTCCTAGATTCCACTAATAGCCACCATCCATCTTTGTTTATAATGAATGTGAATGAGGAAAATATTGAGGCAATCCGCACACGATGTTCATATGCTAATAAGAGACTGATCAATTTCAGTGCTAAACATCAATCGGAAGATTCAAGTAAACAACAATATCAAGTGAATTTATATGGAAAACTGTTATGAGATTTCACTAGTTAGTCGAACTTTTTCTCAGACGAGTTGTTGTATAAAAATTATTCCACTTTCCGAAGAGAATTGTATCATTGTATATCTTTTTATGATAATCTTTACCAAGTAGATAATCACTTTTAAGTAATATTAACCTTAGATATATATGATCTATACCTCATTTAATGATCACTAACCCCAATTACGGTAATAATAACACTACTTTTTGATTTACTTTGAAAAACAATGAGACCTTATTTAATACAACACATGAAAATGTTTCTATAAACAACTCGTTCTATTGTATCTTCTGTCGGGTAGTTGGAAGACAAGAGGATATGACGAGACTCTAATTTATGGACGACCTTTGAACGAACCTTGAGAAATATTAGCCAATCAGCAAACAGTAAGTATAGAGTAAAAATATATTATACAAAACTAAGGAAATAAAGTGGATACACTTCTTATATATGGTTCAAAAACTTGTCAAGTTTAGAAAGAGGTTGAGAGATTCTAAAATTGTAATGCATACAGTACAGGAAATCATGCATACGGATGATGGTTAACGACACTATGCACATAATGAAGCCTTTGTACGAGTTTGTACGCTCTCCAAACATTCGTATATATTGTAGTACCTCACTGCAGCCAGTGTTACTGGTGCTTTTATTATCCATTTCGCGATAATTGTCGTAATTTACCTTAGTTAGGAATTTTATATCGAATTTTCATCACGGACTGATATCAGCTATAATGCCAGAAATTTATTTAGTCAAATGGATGAAAGACTTTCGCACCAAAATCCGAGATCTGTTATCTTATACTTGATTTGTTGGTCCACAAATTATAGTCTCGCCGTTTTATTTTTGTTATAGCCGCTCAATTATCACGTTTTGTACAAAATTTCTTATGAACCCATCGTACGTTAGCAGTGAGCACTGAAGTTGGCACCGTAACTTTGAAATCTCTAAAACTCTTCTGATTGGCTCGTTCATAAATTAGAGTCTTGCCGAAGATATTTGACATGTAAGCCTTTAGACTTTTATCTGAACCAAGGATTTCGATTCAGTTGGTTATTTTATTTTGCATTAGCCAAGTTAACCACCAGTTCATCAAGTCAACAAACTTTCAGAATTTTTTCTTTATGATATGTGAATTCATATTCAGTTCGTATCTTCAGTTTTATTCGTTTCAGCTCATATTAGTTGTGAGTTACGAATTATTAAAATTGTTTTAATATAAACGGAATAAATTAAGAATTTCATACGACGGCAAATGATAGATCTAACCGTTCAACAGTTATCCTCAACTACGAAACCCAAAAAGAAGGCAAGAGGGCAAAAGATCAGTAAGGGCTAAACAGGTGCTTTGTTTTACTATACGACTCGTCAACAGTGTGAATTTATAACTCCAAAAGTAATCAAATCCAAGACGTTTATGTCTTGCATGGTACGATCAGATCACTAATTTGGTATTTATAACTTGTGATGGTCGGTATTCAATATAATCCTTAAACTTCGTATAGAGTTCGTTCTGATAACTGTCACTAATTAACGCCCTACTAGTATATTAATCAAAAGGCAAATACGAAGTGTTTTGTACAGATAACCAAAATTACAGGTACGTTAAGAAAGTATGAAAGACAAGCGCCAAAAAGCAAACGGGCAAACGAGTCAGCGTGTGGGTCAAACGAGCCAATCAATGAACAGTGCAACAATAATAAAGGTACGATGATATAGATAAGTTGTTGTACGAGTGACTTTATCCATTAAACAAGTTGACAAAATGGCTTAACCAAACTAAATATGAACAAACTCAATTGTACATGAGCTGCTATAAACTCCATAAGAATCTAACTTTCAAGCTGAATAATTCATTAGTCAATATTGGATCTGATACTTTTTTTGCCTACTCTTACATAAAACTGACGGAGTAAGTAATCATTCCGTTTCAAAATAGGATCATATAATTGTCCAGTGATTCTTATTTATTTCATAATTCTTCAGTTGATATTACTTTAAAGAGATCACTATGATGAAATATTTTAATTTGCGGTCAGACTGTAATTTATGAACGACCTTTGAAAGACTCTAGACTGACATTGAGAGGGTCCATCTGATAACCAGGACCAAATGAGGGTTATACACCAATGTGAGGAATTAGAATTATGATTTACAGTTAATGATTAAAGTTAGGAACTGTATTTAGGGTTTTCATCACGTATAATGCCATGAATCTATTTATGCAAATAGACAAGTGAATTTCGCGTCAAAATTGGAGACCTGTTTTCTAATTGGTCCTGATTGATTCATTCATAAATATTATAAACTTGTCCAAGTTACAACACAAACATTCAATTATTATATCATATGAGTTTGGTAGATATTATAGTAATTTCAATGGTTAAGATCATGAGTCAGTTGAAGCTAGACCACCATTGAAAACTTGGAAGCACTAGAAGGCCGTTTCGTCCTATTATAGGACTCGTCAGCAGTGCACATCTACGACCTCGCCCCTCTGCAAGATTCGAACCGAGGACCTACTGGTTTCGCGAGCGATCACCCGATGAAGTAACCAGCAAATAAAAAAGAAACAAAAGAGGAATGCATCATCGACAAATCTATAGTTTACTCAATAAACTAATAACAAGTAAAATTGATTTAGTTATTTATTTCTAAAATACATTAATCGTTTGTTTTTTGTTTTTATTTTTTGTTTTCTTTCTGAGGAACTTTATCATATTTTTTTTCTATTTTAATTAAAATGTTGCCCAACAAATGGAATTAGCCACGTAAAAATAAATAATCTCGTTTATTTTGATTGGATAGAGTGGCTGTAATAAGAAAAAATAAACAGAAAAATAAATAACATTACATGCAATATATTACTTATAATAGGAAATAAGTAGTTATGTAAGCATTGAATTTAAGGCTACATTCATATTATTATTATTATTATTATTATTATTATTATTATTATTATTATTGTGCTAAAAACTATAGACGATTAAGATATGATCTAATAATGAAGAATCTCAGAACAAGGGAAAGAAAGACTCTAAACAGTGCAATCACCAAACATCTCCTTGATACAGGATATCAATCGTTTAAGGTGATTAGTAAACAGCTGAACTCCATTCTTCTGACGTTTACTGAAGCCGTTGTCATCAGGCGTCAAAAACCTGATCTATGTGTTCAAAAGGAGACGCGGTTATTCATCTTTCATTATCTTGGTGACAAATACTCTTTCGCTGCATGGTAAATAAATGTTTTTCTTTTTCCTTAAATCCTTCCTCGCATTTATTACACCATTGAGTTTTATTTCAATTATCTTTCATCAAATGGATAATCATATTTTATCAACTAAGCTCTACTCATTATATTCCTATCAATATTTATTCATTGTGTAATCACTTGTTTCTAGCCATTTGAACAGTTGTCACAATCAATGTGGTAGAATGTTCTTTCATATAAAGTATATATATTTACAATATTCAGTCTATTAAAATAGTTGATATTGTGAGTCAACTGAAACTAGACCACCATGAATAACCCGTTTCGTCCTACTATTGAACTTCGCAGCAGTGCGCATCCACGATCCCGTCCCCCGCTAGATTCGAACTGAAGGCCCATCGATCTCGCGCGCGAGCGCTTAACCATTAGACCACTGAGCCGGCATCCAGCGGTGTTAATGTCTAAATTTAACCAATCCAATTCAGTCTATTAAACGTGTTTACATCTATGCTATACTATACGAATATATCTTCAATATAACTTCTAACCAAACACTTTCATGTAAATAATTTAAACCGATTATATAATGATGATTTCGAAATATCACAGATTGTAAGCAACTGATGAGAATCAAATGAAATAAAATGAATTCTTGATATTCTGTTTGAATTTTTTGTTCCTTCTCTTTTTCAAAATAATAAATGGAACTATATTTGTATGAAATAATGAAGAAGTTAAAATGATACCTGTCATTGACAGTTTGTTCAAAATAAGTACCCTAACCATATTTATCAAATAAGCTTAGATATACTTTTCTAATGAATTAAGTAAATTAGAATAATGAACAGATCTACCTATAACATAGACATCTAATTCAGTTCACATCACTTGACCTGCTTAGAAATTGTTTTGTTTTCTTACAATTCAATACACTTATAGACAGATGAAACACTAGGAAATCTAAAGTCTTCATCAAATAATATAAGTTTCAAATAAATGAATCTTATATATCTATTCTCATTTCGTTTATACGTAGAAGTGAATGATCCCTATCAATAACAAGATATTACAAATATACAATAATAATGATAAGTTATTTTGTCCGTTAAAATGATTGCGGATATTACATATTTGCAGCTTATGGCATAATGATATAACATTTGAAGAAGTGTATATAGGTTTTACTTTCTGTTAAGGACAGATACATTTGAATGTCAACCTTAAATTATGAATTATCTCCCGAATTTCACCATGAACTACTGTTTAAAAAAAATATATGATCAATTTATCTATCTAAGAAGACCACACACATTTATTTATTTATCTACCTTAACACATAGATATTGGTACAAGAATGCATCAAATACATATGCGACACACAGATCGCATTTGATATATGTGAGGGCTGTGATACTGCCCAGGTGCTCAGACCGAACCACATGGTTTCCTTAGGGGGCCATACCCCGAGCCTTCGACCTGAAGATCTGATCCACAAGGCAGTGGAGCATCGTAAGGAGATGCGGTCGCATGGTAGCCGGTGACCAACAATTGGTTCATACGCCATTTGTTCCCGCAGGATACTGGAGCCAGCCGATGTGTACCATTATTTTGGAATCCGGGTAAAGTGCCGGACATTCGATTTTCGTCCTCTCATTTTCGTAAACAGCACCCGTGGTGTGAGAAGGCAGTGAGTAGGAATTCCCTGGCAGAGGCTATATACGCGTGGTCATGTGAGAGCGTTTCGAGAGGGAGAGCGGACTCTCTCCACTCTCGGCCGTACCAGGGCATTTGGGAGCCACACACTATCAAAGATTGATCGATTGAGTTATAATAATCAATAACAATGAAACAAAAACCTTCACAACTACTATCAGGATCTACTTACTGATTTACAGGCTTACTACCATCAATCGACGTATATCGTTTATATATATTTTATGTCTATAATATGTACAAAACCTTAATAGCTACATTCAAAAAGACATTTGTACAAATAAAATACATTGTGTATTACAAAGGTTTTAGTAGTTTAGTTTTCTGATCCTGAAATTTGCACATGGAATCTGTAGATTTGCCATGTACTTAACACTTTTGAGATTTTGTACTTGACTTATAATTAGTTATTATTGTTATCAGCTTCAAATGGTTCACTTCTTTCTAATCGTTTTCAAACTTGCCAAATCACTAGTGATTATCCCTACTTTCATTTTGAACAAACTAGTGACTGACTTCAAGAAGTATATCCTGAAATTCTAGTGAGAAGTAGTGACCAGTGGAGTTCAACCATGTCTGTTGTGAGATATCAGCTCACTGAAGACAATAGTGTACGGTGGTGCAACTTCGTGGGTTGGTTGAAGTTAGACATTAACACCGTTGGGTGCCGGTCAGCTCAGTGATCTAGTTGGTTAAGCGTTCGTGCGCAAAACGGACAGGTCCTGTGTTCAAATCTCGCGAGGAGCGGGACCGTGGATGCGCACTGTTGAGCAGTCCCATACTAGGACGAAACGGCCTTCCAGTACTTTCAGGTTTTCCATGGTGGTCTAACTTCAATTAACTCATAATTTCAACCAGTGAAACTTCTGAAATCTTCACACAACCCCTTCTGATAAAATTATTATCCGTACACAAACATATATACAATACAATAGGGGAAAACTTCCATTTAGGATCATATCATTAAGTGAACAATTAAATTAGATTTATCATTAACTGTTTACTTAGTTACATAATTCTCTTGTGACTATTGTCCATTTACAAACATTTTATAATCCAATTAGTTCCTATAATATGACTAAACTATCCATTCATTTACTATAAATAAAAAAAAACAATTACATAACTTCATTCAGTGATACAATTTACAAAATGTGTCTACCATTTCTCTTTATTCTTTTGTCAATAACAAAATAGACACATTTTCATATGAATTTACTCACAGAGTTTTCGACCATCAAATGGTTCTTCGTTTTCTTCAGGATAAAACTGAAAAGAAAAACATAATATTATTATAATATGTATTTAACTCCGCTTCCTGTAGATCTTCTAGAGTTATTGCCGGTTTCCAAGCCCCGATAAAGGAGGAGGGTTGGGCATAAGGTTGGAAACCTCATCCTGTGGGAAAAAAAATCTTTTCAAAAAACGCCAAGAAGATAATCTTTAATATGAACGTCTATTGTATGGAATTGAAACTTGGAGAACTATTACAACCATCACCAAGAGAGTAGAAGTATTTATGAACAATTGTCTATTCAAAATACTCAATGTCCGTTGACCGGATACCTTCAGCAACAGCCTACTGCACTAATAAGGACTAGACACTCATGAAATTGATTAACACCCAGTGATCAAACAATTGTGATTACATCTCAGTCCTACAGGAGGTCGGTTGCGACCTGGATAGCTCAGTGGTAACGTCTTTGATTGCGAAGCTGGGTGATACGGGATCGAATCCTTCATGGAGCACTAGTTCCCTTAAGATTACAGGTACACATTGCTGACGAGTACCAGCCAAGTAACACGAAACCTAGATCCAGGGTTTCCTGTCGACTACCTCCAACCACCAACTAATCGTCAAACTATCACAAGGCAAGCCCTGACTTGGGATCCTGGACGAAAGCGGAGAAAAGGAAGGCCAAAGTACACATTTCGTCGAGAAATAGAATCAGATATGAAAAGGATGAATAACAACTGGAAATAACTGAAAAGGACCGCTCAAGATAAGATTGGATGAAGATTGCTGGTGAGCGGCTTATGCTCATCCACGAGGAGTAACAAACACTAAGAAGAAGACAATACATACTCTTTATTGATGTGAAAGAAAGGTAGAATTTGTTAAAAATGGGGGCAGGAGGAAGAAATTTTAATTAAACATTATCAAATGAGTTGATTAAGTCATAAACTGGAATTATTTAAATGTGTCAAGTAACTATGACTAATTTTAATCAATAAACCATATTCTAAGTAAATCCCATCTGTAAAACATTTTAGTTATAAAGCTAATGTATATAAAAGTTGTGAGCAAATGAATTTGAATAGATGATGAAATGTTTCATTACTGTCAACTGGTCAACTTGATTGTTTCTCTTATCTTTATATATTATTATTATTATTGTTAATGGCTTTATTCAATATTATATACTTTTGGTACAATATAGAATTCTTAGCTGAAAGTATTCCAACAAGTTTCCTTCCCTTATTTCTTCATCTATCCTAACGGTAACATACTGAGTGGTCATCAGTTAGTTGTTAGCAGTTCAGGATTCGGTATCTGAATAATGTACATTCTTTTCAACGTGTATTGCCAACAGCCACGATATCTCTGCTTGGGCCTTTTGTAACTTATACAGTGAAAGGTTGTACACTTTCCACAAACGAATTTAGATAACTCGTTGAAATATCTAGATAGCAGGAATACGTAGCTCAGATATTCAAGCAGGCTGCCATTGATATATATATATATAGTAATAAGAATTAAATGATTATATTTATCATAGATAAAAATAAAACTATCTCATGTAACTCAGTGATAAGAGGAGTGGAGTAAGATTTTGATTTACTCTCGGATAACAATTAATGATTCTAACTGTATTATTACACTGAAAAGTATATATACTAATTAGATTTTATCTAGTTGATTTTCGGTGAATGTGATTGTGATCATTTCAATTAAAATACTCCCTTGTTTTAAGCATATTTGAAAGTGAAATTATCATTTGATGTCTGGATCATTGAAATATGGTTAGCAGAGTTTATCAATTAGATGGTGGTTGGAGGTAGTCGACAGGAAACCCTGGACCCAGGTTTCATGCTACTTGGCTGGCACTCGTCAGCAAGGTGTACCTGTAATCTTTGAGGGAACTGGTGCTGCCTGACGGATTCGATCCCGTGTCACTCGGGTTCAGGGTTTTCTGTCGATTACCTCCAACCACCATCTAATCTTACAATAGTACCCGCAGTGTACAGTCACCTAGACTGGTGGCCACATTGCAACATGATCGATAGCATTCGATCTGCACTAATAACAATGACTAGACACGCATGACATTGGTCACCACCCAGTGATCAATCAATTGTGAGACTTTATCAATAATTTTAAGCTGTAATCACTTTAGTTTACCAGAATTATACTTTATTCTTTTGTGGTATATCCTTTTCTAATTTGATCTTCATAAAATATGTAAGTATCAGGGTAAAATTTACTGTTGATGTACAGTTAAATAATCCCCATGGCTTAAGTAAAGAATGCAGTTCCAAATGTCAAAGAAAGTATTTCAAACTTTATATGTAAAAACTTTATGTCCCCCCCCCCTCGTTTTGTGTTTGACTTCTCACTGATCATTAAATTGATTCAAACTTTTCACAAATTATACAAGATCATTAGTTGAGTTAAACATTATAGAATCCAAATTAGTAAATCTTAAGAAAGAAGAATATTTCTCTGTTATAGTGACTAGGCAAAGAATGAAAAAATCAATAATGGAAAGAATGATTAAATTTTATAAATAATCATACAATATTTCAATGATTATATCAACTGCTACTTTGCTCTTCTTTATGAACATAGTACGTTTCATATGATGAAGTAATCTTATTTTAAAGTTATTAGTCAACTGGTTTCCAACGGTTACTTTTTTTTAACCCTCAATGGGTCATTTACAAGGAATAAAAAGAAAAACTTGGGGAAAAAAGAATCCTCTTGATTGTGAAAACATTGTGACCAACGTTAAAAAATGTATGGAGATATTCTTTCTTAAGTTCACTGCTAAGAATAATCCAACATTATTAAGCCGGTTTATTTTACATGAGTGTATCCAGAACTTACTATTTCAATTGTTTGACTTAGTACTAGTTAGTTATTCCGAAAGTAACTTCAGCGTATGCGTCTTAATCAAACACAGTTGTGCAAATATTGCAATAAATCTTCCTGTTTGGTACATGTTTATGATGAATCATTCTGAATTGTATCTTTGTATACTCAGACTGTTTTGTGAATGGCTAAAAATTGTCACAAATTCCAAATATCACGGTAGCATTTCTACTTGTGATAGTTGAATTATCTTAGTCCCATGTCTGTATTATTGTTTGTTGTCATTGGATGCTTTATTGTGTGAAATGTTTTCTTATACACGATGTTCTGCATGTCTATCGGATCGCCCAAAGTTAGATACAAACTATGATAATCACTCGTCAAGATTATTAATAGTAAAATCTTAAGCTTAAACACTACACTTATTAGCATAGTTTCCTACCAATCTATCATAAGAGGAATATAATAGAATTTATTCAGTCAATAGCTGACCAGAGAGAGAAAAGAATAGTTATAATACTAAAAAGAATTGATAACAAGGTTTCTTAACTGAAAATGACTAGCGGATACTGAGTATTGAAAAAACATTCATAATGTGGTATGTGCTACTTATATGTAGACATAAGTAGTATATGATGTTAGTCGTCAACAGCATGTCTGGCAGTAGAGAAACAAGAAGATCGAACAGTAAAAAATGAAAACAGAATACAATTTGTATGAAAATGCAAGAACAAAGGAAGTCTGAGTGATTTTGAGACAATTGATGGACATTTTGCAAATTTAGCATTTACTATATATGGTTGTTAGATTTTACTAATAAGTTCTGCTATCTGTTGTCAAGTACCCTTCGATTGTTCCCCTCTGGTGTTCACTACAATAATACATCACCATTAATTTATTGTAATTCGAATTAATGAGAAGAGTATGTCGGGATATTCAGAAAAATATCCCAAAAATTATCCTGTTAAGTCGAATACTATCCCTGAACGTGAAATGATGTCATTTTCCTGTTGCTCAAATCTTGCACAAATATTATTTTCTATTTTATGGTACGATGTAGTCTGTTTGGTTGGTATATAAGCAGAGTGTTTGAAATATAATGATTCATATCTCAGAGTCTGAGACTTTTGTTCTGGACTCAACTGGCTGAGCTAGACAGGGAAGCAGGACCAATCAAAACTCTAGACTGTTCTTACGTGTTTTACGCGTCTTCAGTCCGATCAATAATTCGCTACTCCCTAATCCACGGTGACAACCTATAACAGAGTTATTGTTTGCACTATTTCACAACTGGTGCTATAGTAACAAGTAAAGCAATTATGATTACTATTATTCTAGATCTGTTATTATTGACACTAACTCAAGTGAAATGTATGATTAGTTAATTGATCATAACATGAATGAAATCTATTAACACTAGAAGAAACTTCACCAGTAACTCACCTGTTGACGTAGAAACATACTATTCAAATATCGATTGAATTCACGAATTCGATCCATAGTTTTCTTTTTATTTTGATCATTTTTTAATAACCATATATCATCTGTATTAGTAATATCATCTACAGTTGGATAACTTCTTAATGAATGAACTGGATCCATTGTTTGACATAAACAAAATATGGTTAAATATATAAATAATTGTAAGAAATTTAAATAAATTCCATTAGTTGATTTCAATTGTTGTAAATGGAAATAAGCCATTGAAAATTAATTTATTTCTAAAATAATATTAAACAATATAAAAGTTACTGAAATCATGGTATATAAGTAGTTTAGATAAAATTAATATTATTTCACAGATTGAAATCATGAGTCAATTGAAGCTAGACCACCGTGATAAACCTGGAAGCACTGGAAAGCCGTTTCGTCCTAGTATGGGACTCCTCAACAGTGCGCATCCACGATCCCGCTCCTCGCGAGACTCGAACACAGGGCCTAACGGTCTCGTGCCAGGCGCTTAACCAACTAGACCACTGAGCCGGCATCCAACCTGTGAAATTTCTAAAATCTCCACACAATCCTTTCTGATAATAATAATCATCTGCTCACTAGTGACTGGCTTCAAGAGGTATTTCTTGGAGTTCTAGTGAGAAGTAGTGACCAGTGGAGTTCAACCAGGTCTGTTGTGGGATAGAAACTCACTGAAGACAATGGTGGATGTGTCGCTCAATTTCGTGGATTGGTTGAAGTTAGACATTAACACCGTTGGATGCCGGCTCAGTGGTCTAGTGGTTAAGTGCTCGCGCGCGAAGCCAGTAGGTCCTGGGTTCGAGTCTCGAAGGGAGCGAGGTTGTGGATGCGCACTGTTGAGGAGTCCCATACTAGGACGAAACGGCTTTCCAGTGCTTCCAGGTTTTCCATGCTGATCTAGCTTCAACTGACTCATGATCTTAATCAATGAAATAATAATATTATTTCGATAATGTAATGAGAAGATGGAGATGATAGATTAACGCAATACATTTCGAACAATCTGATCACGCACATTACATACTTGTTAAGAGCATTTATATATAAAAATACAAGGTCAACTAGACTGGAAATTTGGTAAGAGGAGATAAGGGTAATAATAATAATAATGAGTAGTAATAATAATAATAATCTGAACACAATTCAAAACCTAATCACTTTGGATAATAATCAGCTAATATTATCAGGCTAGGTTTAAGGTAAGAACTAATTGTTTTTGAATACACAAAGGGGGGTTTGAATTTTTTGTATGGCTAAGGCTTCAATAAACCTTAGTATACACCCTAGTACACTTTTATATAATACCAGTTTAGATCAATCTTGTGCCCTGTTTCAATTATATGTTTAGCAATAGAGGATGATGAATGTTTATCCTCTGCTCTTAGTGGGTCAGTTGATTGTATTTGTTTCTGCAGCCATTTGGGTACATGTTCACACACCCTCATGTTAAGATTACGATTGCTCCTCCCTATGTATGTGTGACCACACACACATTTAAATTGGTAAACACAGTGGGATGTGTGACGCAATCGTTTTCATGTCTTTTAGGTTTTGGATGAAACATGCACTTTGTTCTTTCTTTGACAATGACTTTAGCTGTGCAGTATGTTTTGTTGATGACTGATTTAAGTCTTTGTTTCAATAACAGACTATTTGAATCACCTCTGAATGGTAAGGTGATGTAGACAGGCTTTTTTTCCACCGAGGCTACAATAGGTCTCGCTGTACCGTGGACTTTTCATCTATTGTATGTATTGCACTAATATATCACATAGTTCTGATAATCTAACGTCTTCTTATTACATTATCGAAATTTATAAAAGGGACTAGTTGCTTTAAATTAATATTATTATTATTATTTATAATGCTACTGAAATCGATGAAACGTCTTGACAATGAATGTTGAAAAAGATCAATCTCTTGCTGGAAGTCTTCTTTTCTTTTGATTATAATTGCGGATATTTTATGGATGATAAATTCTAATGCTGCCAATGATAATCATAAAACAATTCTATCATTGTATTAACAATCAAATAATTAAGTATTTCTATAAAAGAAAAGTAGGGTCACTATACTTTCGAAGTTATGTTCACATAAGAATCATTTCTTACTGTTAAATGGGCTGCGTTACGTCGGGAAATAGAATCAGATATGAAAAGGATGAATAACAACTGGAAAGAGCTGGAAACGATTGCCCAGGACAGGGTTGGATGAAGAGTGTTGGTGGATAGCCTATGCTCCTCCACAAGGAGTAATAGGCGTAAGTTTGTAAGTAGGTAAACGAGCTGCTGAATATAGTATATTATAATATCCATATTGAATTCATTGATGACTGACTATTTAGAATACCGTTAGCTATTTTCCAGCGTCGTATAACATACTTAGATTGGATAATACAATATTAGTTTAGTCATGACCTATTTTTATTTTGATGAAGTTTGTTCTATGAGCTGGATGGTTTCGTCGTGGAGCTTTCATCATTCTTCTTCTGAACGACATCATCATCAGCAGCACAAATTTCAGATAGAAGTGTGAAGTGTTCGAATTTCTCCATATGTGTTTCACAGCTTGTTCTGTACACCTCGATGTTGATTGGTTCTTATTGACCTTAAATTTATCATTGTTTACTTTTTTGTTTTGGTTGTGACTCCTATTGGTTTGATTCTTGTTCCTATATTTGTGCATAATTTTCCTGATTGATTGATAAGTTGGACCGATTTCAATGTGTTTGTTGATTGCTGATGGACCTGAGTGCCAGGCTTCTAAAAATTCTCTGGTGTTTTTGGAAGTTCCTCTGTCTAAGATTCCCACATTTTTCCAATCGAATCAATGCCCGCAGTTGTCCATGTGCATTGATATAAGTAAAGAGATATCATGACGTTTGACTGCTAATTGATGTTCATGTAGGCGAAGGTGAAGGGGACGTCCGCTTTGTCCGACGTAGTGTTTGTCGCAGTCGGCACAATTTATTTTGCAGATGATGTTTGATTTAGAAGCCTGACACTCAGGTCAATCAGGAATCAACAAACACATTGAAATCGATGCAATCTATCAGTCTTCTGTTCAGGCACATCCTTAAGAAACTCTTATTTTGAATAATGTAAGAACAATATGATTTGCAGTTTAAAATAGATTAATAAATATAGTTTAAATGTAGTCACTGTTATGCCTATGTTTATTAGTAGTATAGAATGTTGGAGGAAATGAATAATGGTTGTACAATATAATGAACTGATTGAAGTTAGAAATATGAAACATTTAGTGGCCTTAAGTTCAATTATTCAACACAGCATGCACCAATCCAATCGCAATTGACGGAGAAGATTTGGAAGATGTAAAAATCTTTACATATTTGAGCAGCATCATGGATGAACACGATGGATCTGATGCAGATGTGAAGGCGCAGATCGTCAAAGAAAGAGCAGCATATTTACAACTGAAGAACATCTGAAACTCAATACAGTTGAAAACCAACACCAAAGCCAGGATTTTCAATACAAATGTCAAGAAAGTTCTACTGTATTGGGAGGAAACTTGAAGAATTACGCAAATAATCATCCAGAACATACAAGTGTATATTAACACATGTCTATGCATAAAACTTTGGATCCGTTGGCCATACACTATCAGCAACAATCTACTGTGGGAGAGAACAAAGCAGACTCTAGCGGAGGGAGAAATCAGGAATAATCACTGGAAGTGGGTAGGACACACATTGAGGAAATCAACCAACTACGTCACAATGCAATGTATCATTTTAAATCCTCATGACCAAAGGAGAACAGGAATACCAAACTACACATTACACTGAGAAATGGAGACAGATATGACAAGAATGAACAAGAATTGGATGGAACTAGAAAGGAAGGCCTAGGATAGAGCAGGTTGGAGAATACTGGTCGGCTGTCTATGCTCCATTAGGAGCAACACGCGCAAGTTAAAATAATCGAGAACTGGCTTGAAGATTTAAGAGTTAATCTCTGATAATATCATAAGTGGAACATATTGATTTCTATGCTTCAACAAGGCAATCATTCACTGTTTCATATTCTGCTATTGTTATCTATCTACTGTAAATGATCTTACTAGTAGTCATTTCATATGCACTTATTATTATAAAACGGATCTAATGAATAAACTGATACAAAACTTTTTCATTTAGGCTTTTCAATGAGTTCTTTTTAAATGAAAAACTATTTCTTGATTGAGATCATGAACCGATTGATGTTAGACCACCATGGAAAACCTGGAAGCACAGGACAGTCATTCTGTCCTATTGTTGGACTCCTCAGCAGTGGGCATCCACTATCTTAGTCACGGGATTCAAACACAGGACCTTCTCTTTTTGTAATAGAAAGAAGGGAACATTACTATTTCATTAAAGATAATATAATATGGTAATTGATTTTGTCTTTATATATTCTATTCGATGTACTTCCTTCTAAAGAAATTATGTTTATAAATTAAGATGTTTATCAAGAAGATATTTTTGTTATTTTATTGAAATGAATTTCTTGATGAATTATATTCTCATAATAATTTATACTTGACAATTAGGTCAAATTGTATCTTGGTTTGAAGGAGGCAAAGTATTAGATGTTGAACAGTCAGTCATTCATAAATGATATGAAATCTGTCATATACGTGCAGAGATTCAAGTAAACATATCATTTCAAAACGATGACATAAACTAGTAAGTATTATGACTTTATTTCCGGCTAGTTATCACGTGATTTATTCACTAATCAATATACGACGTATACAAACTTAGCACTTTGCCAAAACAATCAAGTTCGACCGGTATGAGTAGCCTAGCGTCCTTATTGGTCCTATGTTCGCCTAGCCCGTCCACTTGAGTCCAGAACACCAATACCAGCTTCCACTATGCGAATCGAATCGAATCATTTATTTCAGACATACTGTGTGTATATATCAAACAAACAGACCGCAACGCACCATAAAATAGGAAATAACATTTGTACACAATAAAGCCAAAAAGTGGCTGTGAACGTGGGAGGCAGTAGTTAATAAACGGAACATAGCTTAAGAACAGTAAATCGTATCATAATAGTCTATAGGTCAAAATAAAGCTTATAACAAGGGGAATATAGATATACATAATCTAGTTACTGAATATTTATACCATGAGAATATATAGATAATATTAGTTCATTCATAGTCCTCAGGAGTTACCCGTAATTTAATCTTCATTAGGATATAACAGTAAGCGCCAGAGATTGTGGCAACG